TTTCGTTAATATCTATATATTCACGAAACAAATTATAAACGAAATAAATCTTTAAGGTTTCTTCTTGATTATATATTATATATATATATATATATATATATATATATGTTGATATACAAATTGTAAATACGAGATATTTGTACGTATGCATATATGTGTGTAGATAGATAGATAGATAGATAGATAGATAGATAGATAGATAGGATATTAATGCAAAGATGTATTTTCTGATATGAGGCGAAAAAATCTTTAAATCGCCTCAGTACAAAATACTCAGGCAGTCGGTCAACAGGAAACAATCTGAGGAGGTTTTGAAGGAATTTCTGGAAGAAAAATTCGGATCATAATACGAGAAATACAATATTTAATTCGCATTAATTTATCATGGATTTTACATTTACCAATTCAAATAATTATATGTTTCCAATATCAAAGCCACAAATAATAATAATAATAATGATAATAATAGAAGTGCTAACAATGTCAGAACATTATTTTCAATCGCCTGCAAAAAGGCGAAAAATGTTATATAAAACGTTTAGTGTATAGCCATATGTTTGTATACAGGTAGAAAATTTTGTAAATGTTGGTCTATATAGGTGGTTGTTTAAATCTGATGAAGTCGCTTTATGAACACAAGACACGGAGCGCAAATGAAGCGACAAATGAAATTCACTTGTTAATGATGAAATAAAAATGTCGAGACATGACTCATAAACATTTCTATCTATCTATCTATCTATCTATCTATCTATCTATCTATCTATCTATCTATCTATCTACTGAAGCTGAACATGAATATGACTTTAATTAAAGGCACCACTATATACAAGTTTTGGCTCTGTACAACCGAGAGATACATTACTTCATTATTTCTTTATAAAGATAGGTGCATGGATGGATGAATGGATAAAAAGATTTCACAAAGAATGTCATCTATTTCAATACAGAAACAAAATTGATTTGTTAAAATATTTAATTCTTATCATGGTTATGAATCTAACAGACGCATACAAATGCACACATACATATTTTACAAAATATATTTGTACCTTTACAAATGCATACATATGAGTCTATAGTCTAATAGATATGTATTTATAACGTTATATATAGATAGGCATGTATAAATGTTTTATGTCTGATATAACTCCTAAAATTAATACATAGGTAAAAATTTGTATAATTTTAAATATGAATATGTTCTTAAGTATTTCAGCCTGTCGATTTGAGATAACATCTATGTGTTAAATTATTTATCATTTCTTATACATGCGTAGGCATGCGTATGTGTAAATATATAATTATATACGCAGATACATGGACACACACAAAATATGCTATTGTTTTGTAGAAAGTATATATATATATATATATATATATATATATATATATATATATATATATATATATATATATATATATATATATATATATATATTGGTGTGTATAAAACCTATACAAGTATATATAATATGGAAACATATTTACTTGTATACTCACTTTTATGCTTATGTAAGATGGGATGATGAAAAAAAGTTATCTATCCGATCAAAAAACTATTCTGGGTATTTAGTCAGATTAGTTACGTGAGTGAGACAAGCCAACTTTTACATTCTCCACATACATAAATTACACTATAATGTAATATATATATATATATATATATATATATATATATATATATATATATATATATATATATATACATTCTCAATTATGTTAAAAATATAGCATCACGTGTATTTATAAATGTTATTATATGTACATTCCTTGTAACTGAAGTATAAACTAAAGAAAAACGCGTAGATCTTTTCACATTAAAAAAATAATCAAAATGTTTAATCTTAACCGCGACTTTTATTCTTTATGTTTGAATTTCTTATTTTTGAGATTATTGCATTTTACATATATATATATAAATATATATATATGTGTGTGTGTTTGTGTAGGTGTGTGTGTGTGTATGCGTGTTTGTGTAAATGAGGTTGTTAAAATGTCATCGGAACCTGACAAAATTAGTGAACTATCAAAATTTGGGGGAAGCTTCTTGTTTGAGTCGACAAAATGTTAGCATCTCACGTAGATACAAATAATCCATTGTAAATGAAGTACTTCTTTACAAACAAGTGTCTATTTTTAAACATAATTTCCTTTCCTTTTAATTGAGTGCTGAATATTAATCACGGATAACTTTATATCGTAAAGTTTCACGTAATAATTCGGCAAATAACTAATGTCAACACACGTATATATATATATATATATATATATATATATATATATATATATATATATATATATATATATATATATATATAGAATTATATATATATATATATATATATATATAAGTGAAAATCGAAGCAATTTCAACTTGTACATGAGTGCACTTATTAAGTCATGACAGCTAATTTGACAAACTTCTAGAATTTATTTAAATTGTTTATTAATTTAAATTGAACGCACATATGAAAAACATTTAAAAAGTATAAATATG